ATACATAATTATAAATTCGTTACAATATATATTGTAACGTATTACAATTTGGAAAGGTCTAAAATTGAGTTAACTGATACTTTAAATTTAGTAGTTAAATTGTACTTTGGATTTAGCAGTTAAGTAAAAGCCGATATATAGTCAGTTTATGATATTCCAACAAGATTGATACACACAGTTTTATTTTTTAACACAAATACGTTTTAATATACACACAACAATACAATTTACAATAAGAGTTAATGCAAATAGTTATTATAAACAATGATTTATAAACAAAAGTTTCACAAACATACAAGCAATATAAAGTCTTCCTTTTAATCTGGAACTTCTTCGATATCTTATCGAGGGTTCATGATGAGCGATTTGATTACGAGTTCACGTAGGTATATTTTACTTCACGGGAAGCTAGCTAGCTTTGTCCTTCGTTATTTACCGGCCAAATACGTCGAGTTTTACTCGATGAAGTTATATAATGTTTTCATAAAAATATTAATGTTCGATGAGAATCCCCTGAAGTTAAATGAGTTGTAATGTTCAAACTTTGTAAATGCTCCTAGTCAAATATCTGAAGTTTTCCGATTGATAAGCGTTACAACAATCACAGTTTTAGCTTCCGAAGTTTATAGCACACTGATTATAGCAAACTAATAATAGATACTCTCTTTTTTGGCGCGTCGCGTTGGATATATTTATAGGCGTGAGTAGGCTTTCTCGAAATTTCAGCTTTATGTAACAATACTGACGCTAACACAAGCATTTACGTACACACACATATATATTGTTCATTTTACTCTCGTAAATCTTCTACAACTTTGGAGAATAGGCGGAAGTTTCGCAATACATATTTAACAGTATAAGCTATGTATGCTTCTAAATATAAATTTAATTGTTTGAATTTATGTACAAAGCTACACAATGGGCTATTTGTGCTCTGCCCACCACGGGTATCGAAACCCGGTTTCTAGCATTGTAAGTCCGCAGACATACCGCTGTGCCACTGGGAGCGTATATTTAATCTATCATTATTATTAATACGTCAATATTAAAATAAATATATAATAACAAATTCGTTACAATATATATAACTAATTATTATAATACTGATTGGCTTCAAGGAACTAATGACAACATCGATACAATGATATTTAAACATTAATTTTAATATGCAGGCATTGGAGGCTATGATATTTTTTCGCCGTTTTCTTGTTTTGTGCGTTTGTCTATCTCTTGTACATCTTATAAGCGAGAATATAGTGTTACATTTGTATTGCTACCTGTGTACGAAAGGTCAGCAATACTATATCCCTAAATCTGTACGTTAATGTGCTTAGGTAGTGTCCCTGAAGATGCCACCAAGCGCAATATTGGACAGTAATGAATAGAAAAACAAATTCTGGCGCATTACAAAATTGTTTTGTGCGTGAGCGGAAATCAGCATCATGATTCTTAGTACTTTTATATCTTTATTCATTAACGTAAAACTTCCTGAATTACGTCACCAATCAACTTAAATATAAAAACAACAATTTTCTGGTTTTAAAATAAATTATAAAACTTGTTTATGCATGCCCTCGTATTTGTCTTATTCCTATATTTTCTTATGCCAGACATTGCTTTCACGTTCATAATATATATGTATTTTTTAAATCGCCTCAACTATTTTTGTGTTGTAATGATAAGTTACCAAAGATACCCATGACATCAGTGAAAAGCACGGTAATTTTCACATTTCACGCTTCTCTTGCCTTTATTACCAAATTGCACTTGAGAAAATAAAGAATTATATGATACCGTTGGGTTGTCAGGTTTCTTAAATTATGACTTAAAAAACATGTTTATATACAAGACAATTAAATTATACTAAAAATATTTTTATACAAAACAGTTAAATGGCACTGGGAAATTTTTTTTATTCAAGACAGTTAATTGACACCAGGAAAATGTTTATATACAAGACAATTAAATGACACTAGGAAAAATGTTTATATACAAGACAATTACATGATACAAGGAACATGTTTATACAAGACAGTTAAATGACACAAGGAAAACATGTTTGTATAGAACAATAAAATAGTACTAAACATTTATGAAAGAAAGTTAAGTTCTATTAGGAATAATGTTTATAAAAGACAATTAAACAATACTATGAAATATGTTTATGGAAGACAAATAAGTATCACTAGGAAATACTGGTAATTAACTTATATCAGATAAAGCGGTTATAATATAAATATTATTATCTTTGGACTCGAAAGATCTTCTCGAATATAACAATTACATCCTAAACCAAAGATTACACCATTATTAAGCCATGTAACTTTCGAAGTGCTTGATATGACTTGAGAATCAGTTTATACTCAATTTCCTATGCCTATGTTCATTAATAATACATATCAGAACAACCAAAAGCAATCTATTGCATGAATTAAATTAGTTTTCTTGAACAGTTCTAATTAGTGTGGGCAAGCTAGAAATCTTAAAGTTCAATAACAGTCACACAGAAATCATTAAAGTTATACGTACAATCCGTGGTCACGTTTCTAACGTCAAGGAAGGAAACACAGATCGAACAACTTGCGAGGCTGCTCTATACACAAACTGGGGCTAATTTGGATTATTAACTTGACACACACCAGCTATCTTTAATTATAAGATGAATAATTATGGCTAAGAATATGTTTGAGAAAGGCTTTCGAATACCCCTGCTTACGTTTGTCGTATTCACTTGTAACACTCGAAGAGGGTTCCCGATAATGGCTGAATCATCGTTCCACGATTAGTGTTCTCTACAGGTCTGTAGTGCAGATAAGTACTCATAGAAGGCAAACAATTGTATGTTGTTTCACATTGTTGCATTGTTGTATATTTTTAATATAAACGTTATATATTTTCTTTACATACTTGAGCTGCTATTTTATACATCTTTCTTCATTAATAACAAGTCGTTCCTGATAGTATTGAGTCATTAGCCTTTGTTGTAATAAACTTTAAAGGATAGGAGATAAATGATGATATCCGAGAACTGCGCCATGCGAAACTGGCAGAGATAATTAACCGTCTTCAAAATTCTGTATGTGACCGAAGTAATCAGCGCTTAAAAAACAGACACGCGGTTCATTTATCTTTAATATGTTTCTACACTACACACTATATAAATAAAAATCAATGGCTGTCTTTAGTGTTATAAATTGTTTATTTTATAGCTCACCTTTTTGTCATGTTCAGTTATAACAATGTATACCTTAAGTAAACCTTGAATTACGTTGCTAACAGATCACCAAGTGTATAATTATTTCACATTTATGCTTAATTTCCGTTTAGATACATTGCGAAGGTTAGAATAATCAGGTTTGGATCTGCCAGCATAGCTGAGATAAGAATACACCTGTAATTAATCATACTGTTATATATCCACCTTTCTTACTGCTGTTTGTGTGAACACGTAAGGTCAGTTGGAAAGAAGCATTCACAGTATTTCTTTCTTTTGGTTTTATTTACATAACCAAATATTAGTATAGTATTTTGAAATATAAAAGAAACCTCCAAAAGTGAACCCTATGTATATAATATGCAGATATATTTGCTTATGTTTATTAGTAGTGCATGATTACGTGGAATAAAGATCAATCAAAAGAATTACATTCTAAGAGTGTACACTCAACTTTATCAAAACTACTTAAATGACTTTATACTATTTACTTCAGAGGGACTTCATTTTATGTCAGGTATTTACGTCGCACATTACTGAGACAGAATTATTTTCTGGTAATTACTGAATATATAATAAGGGAATTTCCCATATACCGTGTGTTTAATTACTTTGACTTGGCTATAGCATTATATTGTTGATTTGAAAGTGTCATAATGCAACTGCATTAATCACTCATACAATAATGAAAAGTACATAAACAATGATATTTATCTCTCCTTATACGGTAAATAGTAATATGTATAACATATGCACAAAGCTTATTTCTTATGAATCTACAGAGGTTACCAAATCAGCGTGTGTTTTCTTGGCTATAGTGACCCCAACATTCCAGAAGATGAAGAAGAAGACGTTTTTGTTGACAGAATTGGTGATCGGTTCGAGCGCATTGAGTGGCCAACGTTTGACAACATTCGTCAAAAATACTTAAGTTTAGGTAGGTACAATAAGTTACTATAATAATGTTTGGTATTGTTTGAATTGCATCTATTAGCTAGTATGAATTATATTTCCATACTTTTACTTTAATTAACAGCTGTACACATGATGTTAAAAAGCAGAACAGTAAAAAGAAAACAGCAAAAGTTTTGTTATTTCCTGCACAGAACTGCAGTTTGAAACGCATATATATATAGACTGATAATATTAGATGCTATTCAATATATCTAAAACTACTTTTAGACGGGGAATCTGTCAGATTCCCCGTCTAAAAGTATTGTTACTAAAACCTCCACCTGGTTCAGATGAAGGTTTTATTAACATTAACTAGAATATCTTCGCTCCACTCCGGGATTCAAAACCTCCTTTAACATTCATAAAGGCCCAATGTAGCGATCAAGCTGTTCCTTTACCATAGTTACCTCTGTAGCTACTCCAAAGTGGGTCTGCATCCGAAAACCAACCCCCTTAGGACACCCACCCATGGTACCTGAGGACGTGTGCCACATTTCGTCCCGTCCCGCTAACTTGTGAGGGAGAGTATGAACATAGTTTTAAAAAAGGTGCCACGGGATCTCAATTGGAACCAGAAACACAAAATCCGATGCCAGATCTGCATTCAGTGACCCTGAAAACTTACGATTAGTCCCCTTTCATATCTGGGTAGCCTTTCGGGTTCGTTTTACTACCACTCACATGTAGTAGGATGATATGCTATAATAATATATTAGATAAGGACATCCTCCGAGCCACCCAGATTCCGCCTACTAAATTTCATCCTTATTGCTCCAAAACTGTGTAGATGTTCCCGGACAAACAAACTCATAAACACACAACATGAATTAATATAGGTTTATTAGTTTTTTAGATGAAATGTCTTATACGATACTTTAATAAAGTAAACTACTCCAAGAATAATACATTACTCAGCAGAAATCCCTTTTAATCCTGCTTTTCACACAGTCATCCAGAAAAAAATCTTATAATGCGTATACTCAGGGTAACTCATAGACAACTGGAAGTGATTTCCGGTTATATATTATGCCTAATTTCTAATATGGTGCATCAAGTTGTAAGATATTAAGTTTATCATGCAAAGACAAAAATGTCAATATTACTGCCACTGATGTCTTTTCGAGCGAGTAAAAGTTTGGGTTGTAAAACCCATGTGAATTCATCCAAAATGAAAGCATTTATTAAGCTTGTCGTGTCAACATTCAAACCAAAACACCGGTGTCTATGATCATACTTATAACGCCATAATTTCATAAGCATGTTTGTAACTAAGTTTACAATTTTCATTACAATAATGTGGTTTCGAAATTTAGTTGAAAGTATAGGAATAAGTACTTGGGTACTTGAAATGATAGTATTTCCATTAAAAAGAAAATTAATAATTGTAGCGCAATCAGTGATGATCACTTATATTCCAGCTTGATGCTTTATATACATATATATTTTTTTATTATTCAGCCGTAGACATTCTCAAGTAGAAGCCTTATTGTAATTATAACTCTCGAAATACTTTGTTAACTTATTAGTTTAAATTCCAGATTAGGCTTTTTATTCGGAAACTATGGATAAATTGTCCAGTCAGAAAAGAAAACTTTTGTATTAACAAATGTTCTTATATAGATATATATATGCAAAAATTATGCAAATATCTCATCTACAATTGGCAGTTGCCAATTATATTTCATGTCTATTGAAATATAAATATTTGATAGAGCGATTATAAAAAGAGTGTATAATATCTGGCTTTTTGTTTTTAGGAATCAAACCAAAAATTCGTGATCACTATCGTGCCCATCAACTTTCTTTTTGGAACAACCTAATTCCTAAACTTCACCGAAGTGGTTCAGGAACGCCCCCTCACTACAGTTTCTTTGAAGGCCACGATAACTCACACAGATACGATGAAGTCGCAGCTCTTCCTTCTGATTTAGTAGCTTCAACACCCAAAGATAATTCTTATTCTGTCGAAGTCTCTAGTGCTTCTACTCTTTTCAACGTTAATTTGTTCTTTGTTACCTCTAGTGGACCGTCGACTACTCCTCCGGTTGAGACCACTCCTGGAGTAGACCCAAACTATTCTACTGCCACAACCCACCTGTCTGAACAAAGCACTTACTCTACAGCTCTCAGTGTTACCATTGCAGTTGGATGTTCGCTACTCATTCTTAATGTTTTAATTTTTACAGGAATGTTTTATCAAAAAGATAAAAGTAGACTTGAAGTCAAGCTTCAGACACATAATTACAAGGTGAAAATCAAAGTAGAAAGCATGCCTGAATTTGAACGAAAGGTTAAAAATTCATGTTGAGTGTTAATGATTCCAAATTCATTTTCATAAATTATAATACATATTTTTTGATGATTTTCGGTAGGTTTTATTTCTATTAAAACACCAAGGAGAGATATCTTAGCTTCAACTATGATGTTTATTTATTATGCAATAACCAACACATTAAAAACGAATACAATAATTTCCAAAACAAACTTCAGTTGCATTCTAGGTGTTATCCAAGCCTTGCAGGTTTACAATAATAAATTATTTCTCTAAAGTAAACTAATAATTCTCAGTCCAAACTATATCAGTAAAATTCAACTAATGCTTTTCTTAATCTACATTATGCTGTGTCATTAACTGTCAACCAAAAGTTGTCTCCAAAACATAACTTTCATTTTATGATTTTATTTACATAACGACTTTTCTGACTCGTAAACCAATGTTCTTCACAAAATTTCATCTCCAACATAAGTATCACTAAATGTAATCTATAACAAACTGATGTCACTTTCAAGATTTCATCTAACATCTCCAACATATATGTCACCTAATGATACCCTGACTTATTTGTTGATGTTTCTTCTCACAATTTCACTTAAAATTCCAATACATCTACGTTAAAGCTTAACGATGTTCCTGATTTTACATTATTAATTTCCCCAAGAAAAGTCTTGAAGCCATATCTCCAAAGTTATGAACTCTATTACCTGTAAAGTTAAGTTACACCATCACCTGTCTCTTAGCGCTAGCACTAAGGTTAAACTTGTATCGCTAAATGCTACCTAAAAATGCCTTTACTGCAATATTCATGCAATGAAAATAAATATTAATTTTAAATTTTACTTTATATTCTACCTTACAACTACCTAACGTTATTTTCGGCAGACATTTTACTTCATACTTTAAGTTAATTGAAACGAGTATTGCCTGTTTTGAGTGAACAGAAAAATACATTGGGTATATTTTATTTCTGTTAATAGTATATGGTATATTTATTATTAATGTCCTTGAGTAGTTAATTATATGTTTTTATCATTTTAGTTATAAATAGAGCAATATATTAATTTACGATTTTGAAAGTTACTTAAGATTCCATAAAGTATATTATATAACGTTAATCTAAATTGAAAGGTTGACAATAACACGTTTTAATAATTTATTCATTCTCGTAATACTTGAACATTTTTGATAAGTTTTATTTTTTCAGATGAAAATGACACAAGAAACTGATAACCTCGCAAGTTTTCAACATAAACAAGTGTCTCGTGTTCCTCCTTTATCCCCGTCCAGTCAAGAGCTTCCCCCTCCTCCTCCCGCCCCTCTAATTACACCCATAAAAATACCACCCAAGCCTATCTATGCTACTCTTGAAGAAAAACCTGTGCCTGAAGCTCAGCCTCTGCTTTACCATAGTTGCCGCAGGATGGCACCACCTTCAAGGTCCAGTACAGAAGAAATGAGAGTGTAAAATGCCCGGTTATTGTCAGCTGCTTAGATATTAGAAACCTTTGTAAGTTAAGTTGTCGTCAAAAAGCTCTAGAGATGTGTCAAGCCTATACTGAGTTCGTAAGTGCGTTTTAGGAGACACTAGTCATAGCACCAGCTATTAGCGAACAGTATGGGTCTATTTGGATTATCAATTTCAAAATATATTCATGTATGTTTATGACATATGTATCTTGAAAAGTAATGGATTTATTTTGTGGAATCTAGATAAAAATAATAGTGTTTACTGAATCATAATGGTCAATTTTCGGGCAAAAGAATAGAAGGGAAGAGTTCAGAAGAAGAGCAATGCACGAGTGTAATGATAAACAAGAATATAGGAAATGGCTGATGAGTATGTTCAAGTGCTGTTACTTTCCACCATAATAAAGAAACATATTCATAATGATTTGAACAATGTGTTTTCTGAGTGCCCTTCATGTATTAATGGATCTCTTACTCGTGCTCAGAATGATCTGGCCAATGTGTTTCCTGAGTGCCCTTCATGTATTAAGGGATCTCTTACACATGCTCAGAATGCTCTGGACAATGTGTTTTATGTGTATTAAGTGGTTTCTGCATTGTTTAACAATTACTCATATTACTCTTCTCTGTTAAACAGATATATATATATATATATAATCAAATTAAAGCAAGCAAAATGTAATAGATTTTCAATAAAAAATCGAATTACCTTATAAATTCTCATCACAGTTTTCTTACGAGAACTCACATGTGCATACGATTTTTACATGAGCTCCTAACAGCCTCTTATGCTTCATAACTGATTATATGAATATTTTTTAATATTTGAACTCTGATTTTCTATGACATCCGTCAAGTATTTTGCGTGTACAATGCTTTTTATATATATATATATTAATTCCAGAAGCCTGCAGTATATTGTGTGTTGTAACTAAGTATACATGCTCCATGACTACCCTGTAACATGCTTATGATATAAAATATCTGTTTAACGAAACTCATAAAAAGATTCCAAAAACGTTGTCATATTAAGATATTTTTCCTTATTTCACTAAAACACATTTAAAAGCATTGGGTATAAACGTACTACCAATATAAGTCTTTTTAGATAGCAATATGTTTAGAACTCTATAATAGATACAGCTTAGAATAAAAAATGGTGAGCAGCTAATAGACTGTATGATATAATGTTTCTTCATAAATAATACAGATAGTTTAAAGTCGATATAATTTATTGGTTACAGAGCTTATATTACTCACTAATGTTAAAAGTCAGAGTTATCGAAGTACGAAAAGTACATTCATTTTAGGCACTGAAACTATACTGAATTGTTAAGCCATGGGTGTGATATGGCACCATACTAAGGAACAAACGACAGTATTACTGAGGTTTGGGCTTTTTTAAGAAATCACTTCACCTGCAGAAGAAGCTGCGTGATCTTGTTCATATTTCAGACGCACTGAATAAGTACTTGTTCTTCCAGCTCTTAAGCTTCGTCGTTCCACATCTTAGTCCTAATTTCCAGTACACACTTATCTGCTTCCAATGGGTAGTACGTATATTAGGATATAAAAAAGGCAGTTGAAGCAACTTCACTTTTTTAAGAGTTTATTTAAACGTATTAACGTCTGTTTAACAACCGTTGCATTTCAAATTCACATCACGAAAGAAGTGAAGCGCAACTGTTCGCTTATTAACAAATGAAAATTTCAACAACATTTTTATGCAAATTTTAGAAACTTAAAAATACTTGAGAAAGATCTGCTCGACTAATTTAACATGATATGTCTTACAAGCTTCTTGAATGGATCGCTAACAGAACTATAAACAAGGCACAGGACATTGTATGGGAATTTGAAGGTAACTAAAACTCTCGTATTAAATAATATTTTAACTTTAGCTTATATATTTATTATTTAAATAGTTTGTTGTGCATATCTTATAAGTATATAAATAGATGTTTCAAAGAAGAAAATACTATTTTCATATATTTTTATTCTCCAAATTTTTTTTGAGCTGTATAAACACGATGACCATGACGAGAGCAGAGATTTCATCTAGCTTTGCCAGAATTATGACAATCTAATCGAAGATATAAAGGCTTTCATGTCCTAATCAGCTCATGCTTCAAACTACCACGTAATTCAAAATACAGGAATACATTTCAAAATTTAAACGAAGTATGCATTCAGACGTTTCGCCAAATCCATTCAAAAATACAATTAATTTATGTTTCTTTCAAAGCTTTAGAAGAGGAAGAAATAGTTTCTCTCAGTGTATAAAGCTCGAATATTGTAGCTTTAAATATGTTTGAGAGCTAGTCTTTATTTCGACCAATGTTCTGAAAACTTAAGAGCTGTTTTATGTACTATTCTAACTTTTTCGATTGTTTATGTAAAAGTGGTTTGTAACAATTAAAGGTGATAGAAAAACAACAACATTATAATGAATACAATTTAAGTAAATCGTATCTCCTGATTTTATCAAATTTTATGAAAATCTACTAATTATAACTTACACACCTTTATTTTCGAATTATTTATTACTGGTTTTAGTATTTTTTATATTCTTTATCTAGAGTTTAGTCGCTTAAAATTCTTCATTGTGTTATTATTTTTCATTCAAATTTAAGAAATCGTTAACTTTTGGTATCTGTTGACTTACGGTTTCTGTTCATTTATGGTATTTGTTAACGACTTGTGCTATCTGGATTGACATTGACAACCTCATCATGTCCGAAACTGAAGAAGAATTGAGATAATCCTATTCCGCATATCGGTTGTAGGTATATTTAGTAAACATGCACATAAACATACGTATATTATTATGGCAGAAACTATCATTAACAGCGAGAGTTCACACTGATGAAACAATGCATTCTAATCGCTATAAGAACACACGTAAAGTTGATTTTTAGTTTCGCTTTAAATAAATAATTTGTTCTGATCGGAAGTTAATATTACATTCTCAGCTAATAAAATTTATCACTTTTTTGTTTTAAAATATATTTTTCCAATCGTGTGCTTGTCCTCTATTTGTTTAATTGAAGACAACAAATCATTAAAAAAGTTTAAAATCTAGGAAAATGTAATATTAACGTTGAATAATACAAAAGTGTGAGGGTTTTATTTCCTGGAAAAAAAGGCTAACCAAAAAGTGTTAGACTTAATGATTTGTATTACTGTTCGCTACCTATTAGATCTAGTAAGATTTATGTCATTCTTTTAGTGCACTCTTAAAATACTTGATTACTTAAAATTATGGCTCCTAAAAACAAACTTATGTTCTACAAATGAAAATATAAAAATCTAAAGTTCTAAAGTTATATATATTTTTTGCTGGTGTAATTTGAATTTCATAATTCCAGCGCATGCCAGTATAGAATTCAACTAGCTAAATGCTGCAACTAGAAGTTTTGATTTTTTCTAAGCTAATTAGTAGTAAACATCTACAGATGACATCATTTAAAATTGTTAATTTACTCAAGGTTCGAACACGAAAGTGAGTCTCACGTTTCAGATAGGTTATGAGAGAATTTAATGATCACGTGGAATAATGAGAAGTCAGCATCAAGTGAAATCTTAATATTTCTTTCATTTCTTCAAAATCCGCAATAAAATAGACTCTAAGAAACTTCCTCCAAGCATTTTAGATGAAGATGTATTTCCATTATAAGCGCATTGATACATTAACTACATAGTAGTATAGTACACTTGGAATTATTCCAACAAACATAAATTATATATTATTTCTAACAATACACGATTATATTGTCCTTTAAAATAAATAAAGGAAATATTTATTTGTGTGAATCGATTTGTTAAGCTAGAACAGTAACGAACTGTTGAATTAGCGAGTAAGTTACGTAGAGGAACATAGAACAGAGCTGTATAAAGGGTGGGTTATTATTCGTCGACGTTAAGTGTCTTATATATGACGTTTTGAAACTCTTGGTGAAAAAGATTATATAAATATACATCAAATAATCAAGGCTGCATCCATATTAACGGAACTATTACTGTGATAAATAAAAGAAGCCTCAAATGTTTATATTCAAATTACTTTGAAAGTTTTAGAACATCGGTAATTATGTACTTATTACAAGTCTGTGCACGAAGCCGTAGAGTGGTCAATATTGCTTGCACGATCTACAAAGATCTCCAAAGTATAAATCCAGGAAGAATTATCGATTTCTGGAGGAATGGTCAGAGTCGCGAAGTTAAAACAAGTTAGTTAATTACTGCTAACATTTGTAAGATTTCCTGTATAGTTTAATTCAGCATTTTTACAATTTTCAGAAGTTTTTACATAACCAAATCAATTGTGAGATATGGATAAATTATAGGTCTCACATAGTTGGCTTGAATAGCTCCTTTTAATTTATTTGAAACTGCACACTGAAATTTAAAATTTCCTATTTTTAATAGAATTTCTCGTGTCTCACCTTAGAAAAGTGTGAATTAATAAAGATGTAATTTGAAAACTGAAAGAAACCGCACAAAAAACGTTATAAAATTTTAGTAGAAAACTATATGAGATAAAATTTGTTTGCGAAAAAGAAATATACCTAACATGCGTATTATTAAAGTGTCACTGTTCTTCTTGGTTTCCCTTCTTTTCTGTATTTCTCAAATTGGGCTTGTTTGTATTTCAATTTCATGAAATATATAATCTGCGAGAAATACTATAAAACTTCATAATTAATTCAGTAGTATTCTTTTTAAATAACATCATTGTTAAAAATAATTTCCACTTCTGAAAATCCGAGAATGCCAGGGATGATCTGTGCTACTTTATTACAAGTAATAAAAACATTTTGTAAATGTAAAATGATATAAGGATGTCAGTGACAAAGAGAATGCAAACAAAAATATAGAGATGGTACAGCTTTACCTAGACCATCTCTACATGAATTTCAATAGTATAATTTAATGTTACATCGTAAAACGCATACTTGTCTTTAATATTACTGCACTTGGAAGCTATATATTCCTTACTGTTGGTATGCATTTTTTGTAATAATATCATGGTAAGGTCATGGTAGATATCAATGTAGTGTAAATAAGAGCCTAGGGCTTACATACAAGGAAAACCAAGTTGAGTCAAAACATGTCTTGATTATTACAGCCTCTGGCTGCGAGGTCGGTCGACCGACCTCGTAACCATTTTGTACTCGTGCATTTTACAGTATAACATTAAAATTTAATATTGAAAGTCATGTATGGATAGTCTATGTATGGCTGTATCATTCCTATATTCTTGTTTCCATTCTCTTTGGCACTGCCATTCCTACATCATTTTACATTTACAAAATGTTTTTTATTACTTGTTTTGTGACGTATTTTCTCCTGACTGAAAGTAGTGTATTCTATGAATGTGTGTAATAAAAATTAATATTGTATGTATTGAGATTTTTTTTACTCCTTCACTTCATAAATAGGGTTCGTTCCCTAAACACACTAATTGTATAGTGTACAAAGCATTGAGTATTCTACATATGACAGTCATTTAATGTTCATCTATTACACAGGCCTGCGATGGTTTTATTGTCTTGAAGTTTTTACATAACCTACAGTAATTCCTGTTCGCTGAATTCGAAAATGATATCCATTTTTCTTCATCACCTACAGATTTTTCTCAAAACGTCGTATGTAC